TTGTTTGGAAAAATATTTATTCATATATTGTATTCAAAAGAAATAAGGCAAACAAACAAAAAAGTTTATCTTGATAATTAAATTGCACATAAACACGTTGTGATTATTAATAATATCATAGATTCCTATTAATAATGACAAAAAAACAATTATATACTTATAGTTTTAGTTCAATTATTAATTTTGCGCAAAAAACAAACATTTTTATAATTGAATTGTAAATCAATATTATTTTTGAACATAATATAATTGATAATTGACTGCAAAAAAATTACTCTCAATTAAAAACATTAATAATAATTATGTCTTAAACTTAAACATCGAGTCTTAATCACACATACAGTAAAACTGATCATCATTTTCGAGATAATAATCTAATGGCAGATATCTCTGCACACGAGGACCTCGTAGTTATGAATGGGAACCTCCTGGCCATCAAAGGACACATAGAGGGTACGGTGGTTGGGGTGCACCTTACCCAACACCATGGACCCGCTATGGTAGGCCCGCCCGATGAACAACTTCTCGCCATCCGATTGCTGTCCGCCCTGAACGGCGCCAAGAGGTACCTCACCTCCCGAGGCGGGCACCCACACCAGGTTAGCCCCGTGCGGGTTGGTCAGCACCTGATAGTCCCGGTGCCCGTGCTCGCCACCGGCATAGGCCACGTAACACACGCCGTGCGAGGGAACCACCTATTTTATGGGTAGGGATTATGCTATTAGAGTGTAATTTAGCATGGTTAAGTTTCATAATACCCTACTTAGTTAATGTGATATGATGTGTGTTTGTTTTAAATGCCGGTGCAAATGTTTAGGTATGTTTATGATAGGGAATGGGTGTATAAAAGTTTTAGTACCTTTCCGGGAATGGTATCCCCGTCCTGTACGGCACGGCCTACGTATAGCGCCTCACCATTAATGTCATTACCGCCCAATACGGGTCCACCGCTGGGCACCTGACCGCTGTATGATTGGGTCCATACACCCGGTGCTCGGTATTGAGTTTCTAGTAATTAAATTATAAATTATTTATTTTCATGTTTAGAAACGGTGTTTGAAATGAGATTTATATTTTATAAAACAATTGAAAACTTATTTTGTTTATTCAGTTAACTATTGACTATTTATAAAATAATTATTAGGGGAGAGAGAGAGAGCGTGAGAGAGAGAGAGAGAGAGAGAGAGAGACTGTAAAGTTACTAATTTGTCATAAATTCATGATTTCACACATTAGTCATAAACTAATGAATAATTAATTTAAATTGAATGCCACTTACGATGGTATACGTGAGCCATTGGTTAACGAATTGATGGTAACCGTTGGACAGTCGTGTGGTCGACAAAACTGAGAGACAACCAGAAAATTAGTGTTAATTAACAGATAATAATGAGTGAGAAAACTATTTTAATCAGCGATTGAAAAGTAGCGAAATGTATGGC